GGGGGACGATTCAGTGCTCAAAATGCATCTGGAGGAGAGAGGAAGATGCTGAAATGTCTTCTCAGACGTGACACATAAATGAGGCGTGAAACACGGCGAGTACAGAAGCTATGGTGGGAAATAGAGATGCTCTTGTTGTATGTTGAAGGGATTTAGATAAAGCCTTCAATGATGGATAAACAGAGAAATGAGAGTTTCAGAAGCTGTCGCTGTGTTTTTGTAGAAACCCAAAGCACATGACTGCCTGTTTACCTCATTATGTGTTTCTCACTTTCTAGGTCTGGGTGTCAAAGCACAGCAAGAAACATTTTTACATAAGACACAGGAGGCGACAGCACTGATATGCTTTCATGTTATATAAGGTGTTTCTTTAGTAAAGCTGTACCTGTGTTTGCATCTTTCCTCTCATTGCACTCTCCACGTTGCAAAGCTGGGACTCAGTTCTCCCTCTGTAACCTCAAGCTCATTCTCAGAAATCCCCTGCAGCTTTACCTTTGTAATAATCACATGTGTGCCAGCAGTCAACACATGTGTTTGCTTATGTTTTGTGGAAATCTATGCAGAGGAAATGGCTCCTTTTAAAGTCACCAGACTTTACTGGCGAAAACAATCATTTTACTGTGCAGAGAATGGGATCTACTCTGAGTGAGTTGAGCATGTTATTTCAGATCCAGGCTAACCCAGCAAAATACCAAAGGCACACACAAACTGCAGTTCATCTAGTGGCCACTGGAGGCTCAACCCAACAGTGAGTCAATCTCCATGGAAATGTCGAAATCTACAGCAGACTGTACTGTGGGTCAATTCTTTCATAACTCATCCAACTGGATGCCAGTAAGACAAACCAACCAGTAAACCAACAGTTTTTAAACACTAGTTCTGATTATTTTCACTTCATTTTTCTTACAGATGTTTTTAATAAGATACAAAAATACCAAAAGTATACTTCACATAACACGATTCAGTCTAAAAATAAAGCCTGTTTGTTTGTTCACATGTTTGTTTCTTACTTCCTGTTTGGCGCTCCCGTCCATTGGCTGTCCAGGGGTGGAACCCAGCTGGGGGGAGTGGCTTGCCACTGCAGCCTGCTGCTGATTGGCTGTCTTGGTGGTGGACAGGTACTGACGGACCTGCTGCCTCTGAGCCTGCTGGATGTGATACCTGGTGGGATTCTCCAGGTGAGTCTGCACCTGAGGGCCAAGAGTGAAGATTTAAAAGACTTAAAGTGTTGCAAACGATAACTGTATACATATAAAGCTAGCAGGTCGCGTCCATACATAGCATTTTAGCACATTGTTGAGATTTAGCCAATAGATTTTAGGGAAAGGACTTCCAATTGCATCTGCTAATCAGTTTTCACAAAAGCAAATAAGATTTATAAGCTAATAAATCATCAGACAATAACAAAGGGCTATCTGAAGGGTGAGCTATGAAGCGCTGATTAAAGGGTTAGCCAGGTGTGTTTAGCTTTAAATACTTTTTATATTTGTTTGCATATTTAAAACAATAAATAGTCAAAGTCGATATTTAATT